GAAGACTAGAATGCCATACTCAATGGCGTTGAAGCACAAGTGAAACTCCCCATTGCCCCAACGGCGAGTGAGTTGTGGTGAGTCTAAGGAATGTCTACGGTATGACAAGCACCGCAGACTACAGGTTTTGCATGTACAGTACGGTATGATATATACGGCCCAGCGCAAAAAATCGAATGCCGTGGTAAGGTTACTTACTAAGGTAGTATAATTACCATTATAGAGTACTTGCACAGTACAGTACTGTACTCCATGCACTGTGTTGCTGTGTGTGGTCCACTGTACGAGTACGAGTACTGTACTAGGGAGGTTTTGCTAAGAGAATTCGAGTCCCAAGACCCCCCATTTTCCATTGTCGCTGTGACAACCCGCCACATGTTGATGTGTTGATAACAAAAATTCTGTTATCTGGGATTGGTACCCAAGTTAACTTATCCTAAACAACGGTAGGTCCAAAACAAAAATAACACTAGCAACTGCTGTATCTCAGCACAGCTCAAGTAATTGTAGTACCTAAGAAAGAGTTTTCTCATGACAGACTGCGGCTAAGGCTAGATTTCAACCATTCATACTACTCTCACTGCTATTCCACAACTGAAGCTTGAACTCTTGAACAATTTATTCCCCAACACCATAACCGAAAAGCCTAGCACCTGTACCACCTACAAGACCAAATCAACGTGTATATGAAGAAATGTTACCGCGACGGCCGAAGCAAGTATGGTAAGCGAGACAGTTGTTGCAGCAGCTACTTTCTGCTCATAGCTTCTGAGAGACATGGCAGCGATGCTGTTATGTGCTTGTATGGTGTGGAGATGTGGAGACCTTACGACCTTACGGCTTGCCAAGCAGCTATCTATTTTTTTTATTCCCCAATTTTCTTCCATTGGCAAAACCTGCTTCCGTCGTTCGGAATTAGAGAACTACCAGCCCCCCAGCCTCTGGGCCAAGGCTCGGTCATTGTCGTTATCTTATACTACGTGCAAAACCTCCCTACTGTACCTATCATACCCTATGATATGATATGACATACTCACGAGCACGGTAGAGTACCGGTACAGTACAGTAGCGTACTCGAGTATGATACATGCGATAGGCGGCTCATGTCACGACTGTCCAGTTACGCCCCTCGTGGTGCCTTCCTCCTTCTCTTTTTCTGCACTTTGCCGGCGACAAGGCTGGTGAAGAGGTGATTCTTCTATCATATCATACGTGTATTTGTATTTGTATTTGTTTTTGTTTCTTTTTCGCTCCCTTCCTGTGACTGGCCGACCGACTACCGTACTTTGTGGTTCAGTTGAGTATGATACCGGTATTATGCGGCTGGGTAATTTGCACTTTCGTGGGAAAGGGTCTTTGGCGTGCAACGCGGTGAGTGAGGTGATGTTGCGATGCCAAGTTATCATACATAACTGTCATGGTACGGTATCGTATCGTACAGTGGTTCGTCAGTGTGCCGGGGGACACGGAATGCCAGGGCTTTTTGAATCTTACTTTTCTAATTTTGGCCCCGGGGGGGTAGGGGGGATACGGTGATAGGTTGTTCACCCCCCCCCCCCCCAAAGGTTTGAATGTGCATAATTGTAGAGGTGGATTATGTATGTGGGGGCAATGGGTATGATATATAAAGGGGCGGTAAACTTCGGTTAACTTAATCCCTTTCCATAACCCTCGATTCCGTGTTCCATCCGATCCCTTCGAGAACTGCTTTTTTGGTTTTTATTATTATTATTATTATTAAGAGATTGGGTGATTGAACGTTGTTCTCATCGCTTGGTGATTAAATTTACCGTACGGTAGTAATTTACCTTCTATCGACCCCGAAACAATGATTCTGGAACCCCTCGTCAATCTGCTCTATGTCACCCTATCCTACTTCCACCAAATCACCTTAGTAACCCTCCCGGCCACAACAGGCCCAAACAAAGTCGGTGCATACGACTTCCTCATAACGGACACAACTAGAAATGACATCTTCGCCCCGACCCACGAGTCCCGGAGGATCCTAATGACGCTGTACTACCCTACCACCTCCACCTTCGCAGACTTCCCGCATCCAGAGTACATGGCGCCAGCAGTGGGCGCGTATTACGAGTCCTCACATGACCTGCCGAACGGGATGATCAAGAGCATAACTACAAACAGCTACTACGGCTCGCCGCTCAGGTCGCGGAACGTGAAGCTCATCCTCCTCTCCACGGGCCTCGGCATGAGTCGGTATGTCTACGCCACGCTCGCAGAGGACCTCGCCAGCCATGGGTACATGGTCGCTTCACTGGACGCTACGTACGATTCACCCGTCGTGGAGTTTCCTGATGGTAAGGTTGCTGTGGCCAATCTCCCAGAGAATATTACCATGGAGGAGGCTACCAAGTATTACCACGAGAGGGTTAAGGATGCAGTTTTCGCCGTCAAGTCATTGAGCACGGCATCGCTCACCAGCGTGATTCCAGGCGTTGGGGCGGAGGGGTTGAAGGTCGAGGGAGTGGGCATGTTTGGGCACTCGCTGGGGGGAGAAGCTACTGCTGGTGCGATGGCTGCGGAGGACAGCATTCTTGGAGGGGTGAATCTCGACGGGACTTTGTCGGGTAGTGTCATCACGAATGGTCTCGGGAGGCCGTTCATTCTCTTCGGCAGCGAACTACACAACCGCACCAGCGACGAGACATGGAAGGGTTTCTGGGATAGCCCCTCCAAGGGGTGGAAGAGGGAGTTGTCGCTCAGGGGTGCGGCACATCTTACGTTCTCGGATTACGCCCCGCTTATCGAGGTGCTCGGGATAAAGGCTATGTTCCCAGAGGAAGACTTTGAGGGGTTTGTTGGCACGATCGGGGGTCTGAGGGCTATGGCGATACAGAGGGTTTACCTCAGGGCGTTCTTCGACAAAGTCCTTGCAAACTGCAAGGGGAAGCTGTTTGATGGGTCTGATCCCAATTACCCAGAGATTTCTTTCATCTAAGCGATGGGTTTTCTGTTCGCCGTTAGCAGGATCGCCCGGCAAGTTATTGTGGAAGAGGAATTGGAAAGGGAAAGCTGAAATCACATTTTATCATTCGAATTAGTGATTGATTAAAAAGGAGCAAAGGAAGATTAATACCAATTCGTGTGATCGGTGGTTAAACACCACAGGGTGCTATTCGTTGGGAGGCCTGAAACAGTTAGATTTGCTGTCATGTATGCTGAACCTGTTCTAGGGTGATTCGAGCTGTGTGATCTTCTGAGGATACTTGAGTTCATCCCAGGCGCTGAGCCGCTTGAGTGCGGAAAAGTTTGAAGTCCCTGATTTCCCAGCCAAGAGCAGCCAACCGCCGACAGATTTGCCTTACCGGTAATGGGCCTGACGACGAATTTGACTCCTTGAGAGAGCCCAAGGGATAAGGGCAAGTGCTCAGAAGTATTCGTGAGAAAAAAGGGGGAAAAACTGACGCCACGAGTGATAATATGTGCTCTAACCGGCCCCTTCCCAACCGTTAGTGCGTAATGTGCCTTGGAACACTCCAAATATTTCACCGTTTCTTACCCTAGGTTCTATAAATTGGTATTTGCGCTTAGTCCCTGGAGGCAAATTTCGGACCGCTGGTGGTTCGCAGGGTATGATACGATACCAGGCCGACCAGGCGCACAATTCCACAACTATGATGCAGCTGTATTATTCATGCCCTGGGGTCAATGTCATTTAATCCTAGAATGATCTATTAGTATCCCAGCCCCCGGTAATGGGCTTTGGGGTAAGCCGCTTGATACTATGACAGTAACTTACCACATGGCTCCAAATATTTCCCAGACGGAATTGGCGAATCGCGACAGCGCTCGGTCACGGTATTCGCGATTTGGGTTCGCAATTGCTAGACAGGCGTTTTTCGCGTAATGCAACGAGGGATTGGAAACCGGATTAATCGCTCAAGATCGCAGAGATATGGACTAGGACTGAGCAGTACCAGTAGCGAACAACCGCAGATCAATACTCACCCCGTAAAATGGCTGGATTGGAAAGTTCCCCTGTCTCATAAATATGTTGGACTGCATTTCAGCTACGATATTCTCTTAATATCGCATTATCAGAAGGAACTGTGCTACAGTATTCCAACATCCACTCGGAATACCGAATTCGTCGCAAACCCCGCTTCAAGACTCAGTTCCGCCCGCTTCCATTTCCGGGACTGGGGGCTCCGGTGAGAAGGTGCCTGGATAGTACTCATGGTTGCTTTTTCCCACAAGCCGTCTTCTCAGAGCTTCCCCAATCTCCTGCATGTCGGCGGCCCTAACACGCCCTGAAATGTTTTATGATACAATACTTGGTACCTTAATTCCTGAAATTTCATTACCGGTATCTGATAAGATTTGAGATAGGGTTGTCCGCGGAGCTCTAGTTTTCCCGATTCCTTGGTTTTAGCGTGCTTCTTTACGGGCCGTGTATACACTACTCGTAGTGAGAGCCGGCCTATGGAGCTTCTATCTGAAGGATCAGTTGTTAGGTTCGACTACGATAGGTCTTCATTGCTCCTGTGAGGTTCGTTCTGTGGGCAGAGAAGGGGTCATACAGAATCTCCCCCGCACTAGCGTGACTTGAAGCATAGATGTGATATGCCGGTACCGGTAGACTGCTGTGGCTAATGATGTCTTTGGGCCGTGGAGTAACGTTTTATCTTCCCTTATCTTCGCGAGGCAGCCGGAGTGGTAGATACGAGTGCCGACTTCGATCCAGGTTTGGCTCTTCCGTTTGACTCTCCTAGCACTCACGGAAGTAGTTCACTGGGTTTTAGACGCGATTCCCGTAAGTGTCCCCGGGACCAACATAACCCCAGAAGGCCCCCCGCGACTGGCACCCTTGATGGCAGAAACATCAACAGAGTTCAGCCCAGTCCTACAAATTTCGAGGGAAGAGTTCAGCAGTCAACCTCGGCCTGCTCCCCTTTGGTGATATATCAGCAGCAGGCAGGAGTAACCGAGTGACTCTCCGTGCCAGAAAAAAGACAATGCCTATAGACTGGAATTTTGTTTTGAGAGCGAACGTTGATCTTTATGAAAGGTTAACCCTCATGCTGACATATCCAGCAAACCATGTCTCATGCACATGCAGACCCCGCTCTTCGGGTAAGCAAGTATTCGAACCTTTATTACTGGCCAACCTACTGTACAGTACTCGGTCTCAATCCCTGGAGATCCTAACCAAACAATGCCCAAGCGGCAGATTGCACTCTCCGTGTGCTGGGAGCCTGGGTATTGGCTTCATTCATCCGTTGGAGCCGAAATTGGAATATTTGAAGGAATCGTACCTTAGCCGGGAGATGATCCGGGGCATCCGTCTCGGCTTCATTGTCAATAAATCCTGACACATCTCATTACCCCATCAATGACAGGAATGGTTGGTTTTGGACGTCGATGCAAAGTGAGCATTCCAAGACCAATCGAATCGCCGCCCACTTTAGGAGCGTAAGCCTTGGGCCTAATAACAATTCTTATTTCGAAGGCTCCCGACTCCGCCCGTGGCCAAATGTACGCGTGACCTTGGTTCCCTTTTTCTTTTTCTTTTTCCTTTTTTTCCCTCTTTTCTCCCTTCCCCCTCCGTCACAGTACACCACCATCGAACAGTGGACGCAAAATCGGGCCAAGCCGATGTCGGAAACCGAAATGGCTGGAAATTGTAAAGTGCTCCTCCGAAATGCCTAAATCCTAGCAAAAATGCTGCACTGTAACAACACCGCAGATTCTCCGCGGAAGACGGTCTCGCCTGAGGAATCGGGGACGGACACACTGGTTGCTGCTCACACTGCGTGCAGTAAGCGGCTGCTAGTCGGTGAAAATCCAGTGGGGAAGCGACAGACTTTTGGATGCCAAATGCCATTTGCTCAGCAGTGGTCAAATAATTTACAGATTATCATACCTTGCCCGGTTTCAGATGCTGTTAGGAGGAAATCAGCTGAGCACGATAAGCCACTGCTTTAAGGGCTTGGAGCCATTAAGAGAAGTACACTTTCAAAATGGACCAATTCTTCAAGTCTGTTACCGGTACTTGTTGCTACGCTGATAACTCGTTTGGGCTAAGAAGCGATCAACCGATAAGCAAGCGAGTGAACAGCTTTGCATTCTCAAAAAAACGAGAATTGGGCCGAGGATCTAGAATTTGTGTATGGATCACTTTGTCGACTTTGGAAAAACTTGACCCGCCGGAAGAGTTGGCTTTCAGTGAGCGGGGCCGGTTGTTTGAACCAAGGAGGGGCTAGTCTCCTGGTTTCCCCAGATACACAAACATGTTGGGATCAGTTAATACATCCGAATTCCCCCGAAACCCGGGTTAACCATCAAACTCCATCCAGCACGATTCGCAAACGTGGGGGGGTAGGGATGGGTATTATACAGCACAATATTTTAAAAACACATGCTACCATAACATTTTTTTATAGCACCAGTGCCCAAGAAAAGAGCTATCACAGGATTAGCCTAACGGACGACACGGAAGAGAGCAGAGAGCTAGTATCAGAATTGCCAAACATTCAAGACCCGCAATACGGTACCCGGAACCTACCTCTGATTGTGGAGGTGCCTTGCCACCTTAAGAGTTGAAGGATACAGTAAATTCTATTCCGCAGAGGCTGCTCCGGGAAACGGTTTCGCTGTGCTAGTCAACGATAAGTTACCGGTACGAGTACCGTACAGCATCCGCGAATAATGTGTGTGTGGTAGTCGGGATGGGGGGAGGAAGGTACAGTACAGCGCAGTACAGTACGACAAGTTCTGGCGGAAAGGGAGCAAATCTGGTTCTGCAGGGTTGGTGTTGAGGCAAGACAAATGAAGGATGCAGGTTTGTCAAGCTTGTTACACAAGCAGCCGCACCTTAAACTACAATACCACCGAAAGGCATCTCTCGTCTGGAAAAGGAAGCATTTGCCGTCACAGATCTCGAAATCAGCGATCCCTGATTGGAGGGACGGCGTGGGGTGTCGGAATGGCTGTGCACGGCCTTCCCTCAAACGACCTCACCAACAGGAAAAGGAAAAAGGAAAAAGTGAAGGGACCTTTCTGTTCTTGTGCGGTATGCACCTGTTGATTGTGCTTCCCCGCTCCGCAGTGCTCGAGCACTCCTGGCACCCATCGATGCCATGTACTCGAGTACAGTACTGGGCAGGTACAGTACAGTCCCATTGAGGGGCCTCATTCCAATTACTGGCGGTGCGGCTGTGCCTGTGACAGGGTATATTCCTTTTTCCATTCGCGTGAATGGCTGCATACGTCGTGGTTACCGGTAGACTACAAGTACGACAATGCTGAGGTGATGATGTTGATGAACGTTGTCCAGTACTTGTAGCATGCCCCATCGAGCTTCTTCGGTATCATGATCAGTATTCGCATAAAAACTACCGTTATCGTACTCGCGCCCTATGAATGCCTTACTCGAGTACCCTCTATCATACTCGTACAATGGATCTCCAATAGATCTCCAATCTCCTCCGTTATCCTGGTCCCTCCCAATTTTCTTAGCCCTGCTACCTGTACTGTACTGTGGTGTACTCGTACTGGTGCTCGAGGTACCGGGACAGTACTCGAGTATTCTAGTCTACAGTGCTGTGACCTATCAGATAACGGGACGGTGATCTCTTTCCCACTTCAGACATACACCATCTCTCACCTTGGGCGTCATAGGCTTCTCCCGCTAATGCTAGCCCATTCCCAGAAGAAATTTTAAACCCCCCCCCCAACATACCGGTATTGTTACCATTATTATTATTATGACGGAGGAAGTAGAATTAACTCTCGGGGAACAAAGGGCAAGGCAACTCGCCTGGAGTCTCTTTGCAACTCCATTTGCTGTACGCTCGGTTTGGGAATTTCTTATCACATCTCTTTTGTTGGTAATTATTTTGACGTTATCGCTCAGTACGGTAGACCTAGGGTTTCCCCACTACCGGTATCACCTCCCGCCCCTCTCCCTCACCCCTCCATAATTTAGCGTAAAAATCGTTTCACTTTCGGGGAGCCCTTCCACTTCTGTGGTTATAGACTAACAGCAGCCGGATATTTTCTTGGGGGCACCCTCTCACTCCTCCGCTTCCTTCTGCCACTCCTCCTCCACTCCTCCTCCTCCTCCTCCCTTCTATCCTGTGTCGTGGGATACGCACTATTCTTCTCCATTGTCTCCTCCAAAGATCGGACCCACTGTGCCCCGCGAGTAATTGTTTCGCCACCCATCATAGCTATCACAGTCCCACCGCCCGTATCCAAACATCTCCCTGGGCTCCACTCACACGGTCGACCTTTCCCGTTACCACACATAACTGACTTAACGTGAGCCGGAAATTCAGAGACAAACACCTGCCCCCCCCCCCCCTCCCGTCTTTCGCCCCACAAACTAGTTCCGGACTGTTTGCGGTGCAATTGACCAGATTTATCCCTCAAATTTGGGAAATCTATCACCCCAGTACACAGATAATATATATATTGCTCACTGGGATAGCGAGGTGAATTTAGCTTTCGACAACGCTTTACCCGACAGAGGTAAAGGATGGCCCCAGTCCATGAGAGCGAGATTGAAGAAATTGAGGAACCCGTGAACGTCTACAACTACCAGAATACCCCTGAGAACCGGTCATGGGCCGGTGCCCTGCCACTCAAACAGGGTCTCTACGACCCTGAATTGGAGAAGGATGCGTGCGGTGTAGGGTTTGCAGCGTAATTTTTTTCCCATGCCGGAAATTGTCCGAGAATTGTGCTAACGATAGTGCAGGAACATCAAAGGAATTGCTAGTCACAAGATCCTTAGTGATGCTCGAAGTTTACTATGCAACATGACACATCGAGGGGCTGTGGGTTCTGATGCCCGTGATGGTGATGGAGCGGGTGTTATGACATCCATTCCTCACAGATTCTTTGTAAAAGAGTTTACTGCATCGTCGGGATTTGTTCTGCCTCCGCAAGGCCAATATGCCGTCGGGAACTTGTTCTTCAAGCCGAATGAGGAGGTTCTTGCCGAGAGCAAGAATACTTTCGTGGAACTCGCGGATTCTCTGGGTCTTCGGGTGTTGGGTTGGCGAGAAGTTCCTCGTGATAGTGCTCTTCTGGGACCGGCGGCGTTGTCTCGTGAACCCACCATACTCCAACCATTCGTCGTCCTCAGGAGTCGATACGGAGGGGGAAAAGAACCCGAAAGCGTGGACACTGAGGGGTTTGACGAGAAATATTTCGAACGACAGCTCTTCATTCTGCGTAAAGTTAGCACGAGAAAGATCGGTTTACACAATTGGTTCTACATTTGCTCCCTGAGCAATAAGAATATTGTATACAAAGGTCAATTGGCGCCCGTGCAAGTTTATACCTATTACCACGATTTGGTTAACGTCGATTATGCCGTCCACTTTGCCCTCGTCCACTCCCGTTTCTCCACAAACACCTTCCCTAGCTGGGACCGCGCCCAACCCCTACGTTGGGCAGCTCACAATGGTAATACACCAAACCCTTCGCTTGAATATATGTATGGGGCTAATGCGAGAACAGGTGAGATCAATACGTTGCGCGGCAACAAAAATTGGATGCGAGCACGCGAGGGTCAGATGAAGTCTGCCAAGTTTGGAGAAGAGCTCGAGCAGCTATACCCTATCATCGAGGAGGGAGGATCCGATTCTGCGGCCTTTGATAATGTTCTTGAGCTGCTCACCATCAATGGCGTCCTTTCTCTGCCGGAGGCCATTATGATGATGGTTCCCGAGGCCTGGCAAGATAATTCACTGATGGACCCCAAGAAAGTGGCCTTCTACGAATGGGCCGCCTGTTTGATGGAGCCTTGGGATGGCCCAGCACTATTTACTTTTGCGGACGGGAGATACTGTGGCGCCACATTGGATCGTAACGGCTTAAGGCCTTGTAGATTCTACGTAACAGACGACGACCGCATCATTTGTGCATCTGAGGTCGGAACTATTTTAATCGACCCAGAGCGCATTATCCAGAAGGGTAGATTGAAGCCCGGGAGGATGCTTTTGGTAGATACTGTGGAAGGGCGGATAGTTGATGACAAGGAGCTGAAGATGGGGGTGTCTTCTCGGTTCGATTTCACTTCATGGGTCGAAGAGCAATTACTCACCATTAAAAAAGTATATAACCAGCTGGAAAGCGCCGGTGTTAGCCTTGAACCTTCACTGGACGATAATAGCTTGCAAAATGACCCTCGTTTGCTTGCCTTTGGCTACTCGTTCGAGCAGGTCAGCCTGATTCTAGGGCCGATGGTAAGTCACTGCTTCTCACTCGAGCAACCATTTCCCTGCTAATACCCCTCGTAGGCAGCAGACTCGAAGGAGGCGCTCGGCTCCATGGGTAATGATGCCCCATTGGCTTGTCTAGCAAAACAACCCCGTCTTTTGTACGAGTATTTCCGTCAGCTTTTTGCGCAAGTCACAAACCCACCCATCGATCCTATCCGTGAGGCTATTGTCATGTCTCTTGAATGCTATGTTGGGCCTCAGGGAAATGTCCTCGAGATGGACCCATCCCAATGCCATCGCCTGCTCCTCCCCTCACCGGTCCTTTCACTAAATGAGTTTAACGCGTTGAAGAATATCCAACAAGTTAACAATAGCTGGACTGTTCATACCATCGACATTACATTCCCCAAGGGACAGGGTGTGCCCGGCTACATTAATGCTCTTGACGAGGTATGCAGGCAGGCGAGCGAGGCGATTGAGAAAGGTGACAGAGTGCTCGTTCTTTCGGATCGTAACACCTCCGCCGATCGTGTGCCATTATCGGCGCTTCTTGCCTGTGGCGGTGTCCACCACCACCTTGTCCGAAATAGAATGCGTTCCAAAATTGCTCTAGTGATCGAGACCGCCGAGGCAAGGGAGGTACATCATCTTTGTGTGCTTTTAGGGTATGGCGCAGACGCTATTTGCCCCTATCTTTCCATGGAGTGTATCTTGAAAATGAATCGCGAGAAGTTGATCAGGGGAGATCCCTCCGATGAGAAAATCGTGGACAATTTCAAACATTCTTGCGATGGTGGCATCCTCAAGGTCATGAGTAAAATGGGTATCTCAACTCTGCAGAGTTATAAGGGTGCTCAGATTTTCGAGGCATTGGGTGTCGATGATTCTGTTGTTGACAAGTGCTTTACTGGAACCGCGACGCGTATCAAGGGAATTACGCTAGATTTCATTGCGCAAGATGCTTTTGCTCTCCACGAGACCGGATATCCAAGCCGTAAGATCGTTTCCATCCCTGGACTTCCCGAGACGGGTGAATACCATTGGCGCGATGGTGGTGAGTCCCACGTCAACGACCCGGTCAGCATTGCAAACATCCAAGATGCTGTTCGGACCAAGAACGACAAGTCTTACGAAGCATATTCCCTTTCGGAGTACGAGCAGATAAAGAACTGTACTCTACGCGGATTATTGGATTTTGATTTCTCTAGTTCAAAGCCAATTCCAATTGATCAAGTCGAACCCTGGACCGAAATAGTTCGCCGTTTCTGCACAGGTGCTATGTCTTATGGGTCCATCTCTATGGAATCGCATTCCACGCTTGCTGTAGCCATGAACAGGCTAGGAGGAAAGTCAAACACCGGTGAAGGTGGTGAAGATCCTGAGAGAAGCCAGATACTAGAGAACGGGGACACCATGAGATCCGCTATCAAACAAGTCGCTTCCGGACGTTTCGGCGTCACATCTCACTACTTGGCTGACTCGGATGAGCTCCAGATCAAAATGGCTCAGGGAGCAAAACCGGGGGAAGGAGGCGAACTTCCCGGCCATAAAGTCTCGCAATCTATTGCTCGCACCCGTCATTCTACGCCGGGCGTAGGTCTCATTTCTCCACCACCTCACCACGATATTTACTCCATCGAGGACTTGAAGCAGCTCATTTACGATTTGAAATGTGCTAATCCTCGATCAAGGGTTTCGGTGAAGCTTGTATCTGAGACTGGTGTTGGGATTGTTGCCTCCGGAGTAGTCAAAGCCAAAGCTGATCACATTCTCATTTCCGGGCATGATGGCGGTACCGGCGCATCTCGCTGGACCGGCATTAAATATGCCGGATTGCCTTGGGAACTTGGCCTAGCCGAGACACATCAAACTCTAGTTTTGAATGACTTGCGTGGTCGTGTCATTGTGCAAACTGATGGGCAGCTGCGTACCGGACGTGACGTTGCAATTGCATGTCTCCTTGGTGCAGAAGAGTGGGGTTTTGCAACAACGCCTCTTATCGCTATGGGATGTATTATGATGAGAAGTAACTCCCCTTCGATCCATTTCACGGTGTTCCTCCATACTTATTGTTCAATATAGAATGCCATTTGAACACTTGCCCTGTCGGTATCGCCACCCAGGATCCTGACCTCCGAAAGAAGTTCACTGGCACCCCCGAGAATGTTATTAATTTTTTCTACTATGTTGCCAACGAGCTCCGTGCCATCATGGCAAGGCTGGGTTTCGGAACCATCAATGAAATGATTGGTCATTCGGAGAAACTTCTTGTAAGAAGAGATCTTATGACTGAGAAAACGAATAACATTGATTTGTCTCTGATATTAACGCCTGCTCATACGCTCCGTCCTGGTGTCGCTACCTATAACGTCAGGAAGCAGGACCACCGTTTGCACGTACGGCTCGACAATAAATTGATTGACGAATCAGAGTATACCCTGGAGAAAGGGATTCCCACTCGCATCGAGTCCGATATAGTCAACACGGATCGTGCGCTTGGTGCCACGCTTTCCTATAGAATCAGCCGGAAGATGGGGGAGGCAGGCTTGGAGCCGGACTCTGTCCATGTTAATCTTCGAGGGTCAGCCGGTCAATCATTTGGAGCTTTCCTCGCCCCTGGTGTCACACTCGAACTTGAGGGTGATGCTAACGATTATGTTGGAAAAGGGTTATCCGGTGGTCGTGTCGTTATCTATCCTCCACGAAACGCCATCTACAAAGCTGAGGAGAACATTATTGTCGGTAACGTGTGTCTTTATGGCGCTACTGCTGGTCAATGCTTCTTCCGCGGCGTTGCTGCCGAGCGTTTTGCTGTCAGGAACTCTGGCGCGACAGCTGTCGTTGAGGGTGTTGGTGATCATGGATGTGAATATATGACGGGAGGTCGGGTCATCATTCTGGGTGAGACTGGCCGCAACTTTGCTGCCGGAATGTCTGGAGGTATTGCCTATGTTCTTGACCTAAAACAGAACTTTGCCTCTAAGGTCAACATGGAAATGGTTGAGCTCTCCGGTGTTGAAGATGCTCATGAAATCTCCTGGGTTAGAGGCCTTGTTGAGGACCACTACCAATTCACTGGCTCCGAATTAGCCAAACGGATTCTCCTTGATTACCGCAGGGCCCTTCCTAGATTCGTGAAAGTCCTTCCCACCGATTACAAGAGAGTTCTGGAGGAAGAAGCTCGAAAATCGAAGGTCTCCCAATACCCGCTAGGTCTGCTTCCTGGGAACCCAGTTCGCGAGCAACATGAGAAACAGCTGGCAAAGGAGGAAGCGGAGAAGCACAAGCACGCGGCTGCCATGACCGACTTAGAAGACAGCATTTTGGATACAAAGGCCGAGAAGAAGAGGTCTGCCTTGGTGCTCAACAAGACGAAGGGCTTCATGCTCTACCCCCGCCATCATGAGAAATATCGGAACCCCAAAACGCGTACAAAGGATTGGCAAGAACTTAGCAGACGATTGGACGAGGATGAGCTCAAGTATCAGTCTGCCCGTTGTATGGACTGCGGTGTTCCCTTCTGCCAGAGCGATACCGGTTGCCCCATCTCGAATATTATCCCCAAGGTTGGTCCCTTGTATTTCCTCTCCATTTCTTCGAGACCCCAAGCTAACTTATCCCTTTAGTGGAACGAACTCGTCTTCCAAAACCAATGGAAGAATGCCCTCTTCAAGCTTCTACAAACCAATCCATTCCCCGAGTATACCGGGCGCGTTTGCCCAGCTCCTTGTGAAGGTGCTTGCGTTCTAGGCATCAACGAGGATCCAGGTTTGTTTCCTGCGGGTGGGGTTTATCGTGATATAGCCCGACTAACTTTGAACAGTTGGGATCAAGAGCATCGAATGCGCAATCATTGACCGCGGGTTTGAGATGGGTTGGATGGTTCCTACGCCGCCCGAAGTTCGCACTGGAAAGAGTGTTGCAATCATTGGCTCCGGCCCTGCTGGTTTGGCGGCTGCTGACAGTTTGAACAAAGCCGGTCACCTCGTTACCGTGTATGAGAGGGCCGATCGTATTGGTGGATTGCTGATGTAAAGGCCCCCCCGCTGTCTGTGAATGGATTGGTTTGGAGATGCTAATTCGACACAGGTATGGTATCCCGAACATGAAGCTTGACAAATCAATCGTCCAGCGGAGAACGGATTTCATGGCCGCCGAAGGCATCAAATTTGTCACTGGTGTTCATGTAGGCGAGAACACGAAACTCTCTACCCTTAGGGAACAAAATGAAGCCGTTATCATTGCAACTGGGGCTACGGTTGCCAGAGACCTTCCGATCCCTAATAGGAACCTTGAGGGTATCCATTTTGCCATGAGTATGTCCATTTCACCACCTTCCTGCAAGCCTGGCTAACCAGCTATAAAGCTTTCCTTCATGCCAATACCAAGTCTTTGCTCGATTCGACCCATGAGGATGGCAAATATATCAGCGCAAAAGGCAAGGATGTCATCGTTATCGGTGGAGGTGATACCGGTAACGATTGTATTGGTACCGCTGTTCGTCACGGGGCCAAGTCAGTTGTCAACTTCGAGTTGCTTCCTCAGCCTCCAAACGAAAGAGCCAGAGACAACCCTTGGCCGCAATGGCCTAAGGTCTACAGGATTGACTACGGTCACTCGGAGGTCAAGGCACAATACGGGAAAGATCCCCGAGAATACTGTGTCATGAGCAAGGAGTTTGTATGTGATGGGAGCGGTAAGGTCAAGGGTATCAACACAATCCGTGTCGAGTGGGCTAGGAGCTCTCGCGGGGGTTGGGACATGAAGCAGGTTGAAGGATCCGAACAGCTCTTCCCTGCAGATCTTGTACTCCTCTCGATGGGTTTCTTGGGCCCGGAGGACAGAGTATTGGGTGATATTGAGAGAGACCCTCGGAAGAATGTCAAGACACCCCCGGGAGCCTACTCCACTTCGATGCCTGGTGTCTTTGCTGCTGGCGATTGCCGGAGAGGGCAGAGTTTGATTGTCTGGTAAGTCACTGCAGTCTCAGAAAATTTCCAGGGAGAATTTTTCTAACAAATACCTCTTTCTCCTATAGGGCTATCAATGAAGGTCGGCAATGTGCACGAGAAGTTGACGAGTGCTTGATGAACACTACGCAGCTACCCGTCACCGGAGGTATTGTTCACAGAGCCCCAGTCACAGCCAAAATCTTGGGCCGTGCGGAGAGACCCCATCTCCAAACTATTGCTGTGGCGGCCGCCTAAGCCGCTATAACCGCTCACCAAAATACCCCTTTCACTCTCGTCTACGACAAGTCATCAAAATTGGGGGGTGGAGCAGGTTAAAAGGTCGTCGTCCGCCTTATTTGGTTCTTCGTTTCCGTCAAAGTCACATCTGGCAACCTTCCGTTATAGCCGTTAAGCATTGTTCTTCACTTCTCTGTGTGATATTACATGACTGTTATTTTGTGGTCTATTTGGTCGCTATTATGCTTTTCGCTGCCCTCTTTGCTTTCCTTCATACTGTCCAATGTATTTATTCCCTGCCAAAGTTTTAACCATATATTTTACACTTACTTTAGTGAAGCACCACTAGAAATTTTGTTGGGTACAGTTCCCGTTTGGTAAGCCATAGAAATGGCCCTTTTCCGACCCTTAAGGCATTCCTGTGATACTTTCTTTTTTTTTGGTTATAACTTAACTTTCAGGGCTCCTACAGGATTTTCTTTCCCCATAACTGCTATCATACCAACGTAGCTGCTACGTGGATATGACGTTTCCCTGCTCTTGGTCGGAGCTCTAGCGAGAATTGGGGTTTTTTTTGGCACTCCACTATATAAAAAAATGCCATTTTTCGTGTAAAGGTAACATGAGCTGAAATAAAAATAAAAATAAAAGGGGCCGTCTTTCTAAAAATATTTGCATTTGGCCAGCAAATTTACTATTTCAGGGTTCAAAAGAAAAATTCATAAAAAAACGTCAAGAATCTGATAGTGTTAAACCAGGTATGATAGTTTTAAGCCCCGGGACTTCCCCCTCCCCCCCCCGACGGCTTTCTATGACAGCCCCAAACTCCGAATTCGTCACAACCAGAAAACCCAAAGGGACGCGAACAAACAGGGCCTGAAGAATCCGTAAAATAAAAATTAAAAAAGGGCTCATTTTATACATTTCGGCGTGCCAGGCTGGACTCCGGTATCACCATTGGAGGGGAAGCCATTCCTCATGCCCGATTATTATTCTCGTGGGCATTAACAAAGCATGTATCCTCCCGTCACAGCCTATCACCCTTCCAAAAAGAACAAAAAAAAGAAAAAGAAAGCATGAACATTGTGCCAGTTTCCATTTCATCCTCCCAGTAACGCTCGTAACTTTTCACAGATAATCACCCACTCTACGGCCTTACCAAATGCACAGCGCCCGAGCGGGGAACCTCCTTCACTCTTTTAAATTCTCCGTCGAGTCCTCACGATACCAGTCCCCCTCTAAAGTCCTAGTCCTTCAACCCAGCGGTCATCCCGTTCGCCGACAGCTCTAGGGAAGCGCACCATACGAGTGCAGTACCGTATGCTGCGTGCTCAACCGAGCGACACATCTAACGTTGACAAACCACCGACCGCTCTGTGAAAAATTCCAAAAAAAAAAAACCATCCCAGTCCAGGGAGCCCAACGCTTTTCCGAAACTGCTAAATTTAAAAAAGTGTACAGTACGGATCGCCGTATGATGGTTCACCCATCTTGTCATATCATACCCGTAACCAACCCAGTCTACCGACCGACCGGCCCGTGCCGATTATGGCGGCGATAGTGCGATCATTAGTAATCACTCGAGGGTGGGCTTGTGGCCTGGGGGCTGTGTACTAGTACTGTACTGTACTGTACTGTCCAGTACTGTGCTACCCTGTATCATTCGGTTTTGGGTTCTCGGTCTTTGGGAATTGGGGGTAAAGTGTTTCGGGGCTTTGTGGATCCGTGCAGTCTTCCAGAGTATTATCGTACCGTGTGATATGACGTGCCGTCTAGGATGTTGGGCTGACTTGCTTGCTGTGACTGACTGATTGACTGCCGGCTCCTTATGATACCACTTGGCTTACACTTGCTTCGTGGGCCGCTAGGGTATGTATATATGTATATATGTATATATGTCGCGCCCCGCACATGATGATAGGATCGTCTGGACTGGAGAGAAGGGAGGAAGGAAGTTTGCAAAACGCATGCTCTAGTATTGCACCGGCTTCTAATCTAGGAGAGAAAGACACTTTAGGACGTGATAAACGAAAATTAAACCCACAAATCCTGTCCAGAACACCTGCAGAGTGAGAATTCCATACTATGCCGAGTGAGTTAACGCCGTAATACAAGAGTAGCGATGTTTCCAAAGTCTATACACTCCCAAGTGCCTATCTACAAGCTCACGTATCGTACTATACAAATGATATACACCAACAACAGCAAAATAGGGCAGAGGAAGATAACCCGCCCCCCATTAGTACCCCACCACCATCGCCGCCACCGCATACAATATATATAAGGCCACAAGTAGCGAATTTCAATCACAGGCTAACCTGTTTAGCGCCCTCATTTGACTCCCCCCTCTCACTAGCCCTCTTCTCCCAAGCCTCGTGATCGCGATCCATCCGGTCAAGCACGGCAATCATGCCAGCCGCCCTTTGCACATCAGCTGCCAATTCCCTAACCGTAGCTTCGATCTTGACAACCGTGGATTCCCAAATCATCCTTCGGAAAGCCACGCTCACAGTTGAACTCGACAAGCCAGCCACCCGCCTCTTCAAGGAAAGAGCCTGGTCACGGCATGAAGTATCCAGCTTCCTTGCCCTCTTGATATTAACTGCTGCTAGGGCGGCTGCATCTTCAATCCTCCTCTTGTTCGCTCTGATGACGTCGACGGATCCAGGATTAGCGCCTATCAGCCCCGTGGAGAGGCTGGTGATGCGCTCCAGATCGGCTCTAATGTGTTTGTGTTCCTTCTTCGGGAATGGATCCTCGAAGGTGGCTCGTATCAGCCGGCTGATGTGGTAATCCTTGCGGAGAGTCGCAAAGTCGACGTCGGTGACCGCGTGCGGCTCCAGTGCTTCTAGATCGAGGTGGGGGTTTAAAAGGAGGGATCGATGGTACGCTAGTCGCCGCTCGTCGATGGGAACGCTCGGGTCTGAGAGGGGCACCTGAGATACTTGTGAATTGTGGCTCTGGATGTAATCGAGTTGGCTGTGACTAAGGCCTCGCGGCCATTCACGTGGAGGAAACAGTGGAATTACAGAAAGAGAAGCGATTCTATCTTTTTTTTCGGTTTTTTCATTTTCTAGTTTTTTTGGTGATCCTTTGATTGCCTTCTGTTCGGGAGCCGGATTCGAATTTATTGGTGCTTTATTGGATGATGGGCTGCATAGAAAATAGAAATGATTAGGGTAAGGTTGTATATAATGGAGAGCATAGGAGAGTTTGAACTTGAAAGGCGTGTAGAGTTTAATACCCGGTGGTTAGTGGCTTACGTCTCAGAAAACCAAACATCGATCCAAACAGCCCTCGAAGCAACTCCCGTCGTCCGTCCACCAGTTGTCTTTCTCGAGGCTCAGGCTCCCCCGGTGGAGCCGTCCGCTTCCCCCGAAAATCGGGCACCACTCGACCTCGTTCTGGCGGAAGCGCAGGGAGCGGTGCCCGCAGTAGTAGCTCATTTCGAGATCTAATCTCCGCCATATCAAATCCCTAGGTCCCAGCACTCCAATTAGGTTTCTCACATGACAAATAGTTTGAGGGAGAGGGTTAAAAAAATGAATATAACTTACAGCGCCCTTTCTAGCCACCGGGTCCGCCAAATTGAGCTTCCTAGGGATCAACCAAAACTGTACACGAACCCCCCTAGCCTCTTGCACAGCCAATTCAAATAGCAACTTCTCCCAGGCTTCCCTTCCGGAGATAGCTTTCCCCCCGGCTTTCCAATCCTTCGCCGCCCACTTCTCGGCCAACTCGCACACGCCCATGACCACGTATTCTGCATCGCAGGCCAGGACAACTCGGTCAAAACCTTCCTCGCGCCACGGCCTCAATTGAAGTGCAATGACGGCGGCCCAGAGTTCCGCTACTCCCGATGCGCTGTCGTCCCCATCGTACTCCTCCAGCCTGCCGTAGACGTTGTCCTCCCGACGGAAGTATACACCGTAGCCAGGACGCGAATCTGGGCTTCCAGCCCCCATGCAGGACCCATCTATGAAGAGGAGTACTTGCTTGGGATCTCCATTGCGAATTAGCCGTTGGGAGGGTACCGGGGCGGAATTTGGTGCGAAGGAGAATTCACTGAGTGGCGTGCTCTGCGGTGAAGGTGGCACGAACCGGCGGGGGTGGTGTTTGAGGTCTATGAAAAGTTTTTCGAGGCGGATATCCAGTGGGGATGGCTTTCCGGATTTGGCAGCAGGGGTGAGGACCGTTGGACTATCCGGCCTTGCCATCCCCCCTCCACCCTGAGCCGTGTATCCCAACGCCTCCAGAGCCTCAATTCGGTTGAATAGTGTCGCAATCTCTTGTTTCGTTGTAGACATGTACTTATCCGCCGCCTTTGCCGTGACCATGGTCGTGATCGACTTCTCGATGCTACCAATCTTCGCATTGTTGCTGTTCTGCCTCTGCTCAACCAAAGTGACCTTCAACTCCAGATCGCCAACTCGATTACCCTCCCTCCCGATCTGCGCATTTTGAGACAGAATCTTGTTCTCCATTTCCTTGATCCTCTTCACAATTGCCTCCACCCCAGCACTCCGTTTCTTAGCCTCCTTGATCTCAGCCTCCTGGGCAGCCTGCACCCCCTCCAACTTTTCCATCCTCTCGTTCAATGCTTCCGTATCCGAGCTCCTAGCCGTAGACGAAATGTAAGCTGCCTGAGCGAACACGAGATCCTCCAATTTCTCCATCTTGGCGATCTGCCTGTTCGCACTGCGGTCGCTGGTGGTACCGCTACCCCCACCCCTACTGCTATTACGCAAGGGTGGAACAGTGTGCATAGCCCGACGACAAGGAAGACATTTCGGTAATCGAAGAATTTTACGGGACGAGAGCCTCATCGGGCGGTGATTGCTGTGTCGGCGATGCCGGGGATGTGTTGGCTGTGACAATTGGCGAATGCAGCCGCTCGGGGGACGATGTTTTGCTGTTGCGGTCATCATTACCGGTGGAGTGGGAAAAAAAAATTTAATTCTAATTGGTGTGTGTGTGTGCCACTTTGATGGGTGCCGGATCGAAGCTTGTGCACTCTCTGCTGGGGTTCGGGCTGGATCCGGTTTGGCCAATGGGAAAATGAACTTCAGTAGTGGTTGTTAGGGCCTGGGGCCAAGGGCTTGGGGTTTAGGAGAGTCCTATCACCTCCAAGCAACCAGACTCCTAAAAATATAGTCCCCCCACCACCGTATCCCCCGCTTCCATCTTTTCTATCATACTCATGTAAGAGTAACATCTAGGAATTGGGTATCTATATGATAGCTTAGCATATTGATTTAAGGCTCGTGCCGTATATAAGAAACCTCAGCCCGAGGGCTTCACTATCATTACCTCCGCGAAAATCGACAAAAAGCCGATAAAGTAGACTGCTGTATCATAATAATTATCATACATATCATACGAAGCTATATCCACTCAGCCAACCCTAAAACAAAACCCAGCGGAATCCGATCCCGATGAAAATAAAAACCTCACACGCCATGATACCTCAGGATCTCGTGCTATGACGGCAGTTAGCCTCTATCTTAGACGTGAATTCTTGCAAACAATGCCACAAACAACGGGTAGGAGCCGTATAATTTTGTGATGTGAGCGATATCAACATAATATGATATGTTAAACTTTAAAGGCACCCTTAGGACATCCTTCATTCCACTTTTTGTCAAAGGGGATCCATACAGTACAGTACAGTACAGGAATCTTCCTCATACATAATATATGCAATACAGACCTGATTCCCGCAGAATACATCACTCAGGAGAAAGTGATACCTACTCACTATTCATGTCGGCAGCGAAAGTACTACGTACATATAAAAGCAATACCCCAACCTCCAAAGTACGAAGTATGATACGTGGTACACAGAGTAGGGTAGAGTATTAACAATCCAGCCAGGGATAACCATCCACCAGGTCAATGCAGAGGATTATTTCTATATAAAGATGTAATTTACAATCCCATGGAGGGGAGCAACATCAAGCAATCCATGACACCAGACGAGACGGAAGGAGTTAATGGCAGGCCGTGGCCTAAAAGTGCTAATGCGTCTACTATCAGGAGGGTACCAAAAAAAAAGTGACCATCATAATATACACTCCCACATAGCGCCTTCCCCCATGGCTCGAGAATGAATATCCCCCAATACTAGCTAGCACAGTAAGAAACAAAATCGCCTCCACTTCCCCCGCCCCCCACAACCATCAATTCTCAGATCAGGGTGGAGGAGCATCACCACAAGGCAACAGGCATTTTCATACCAGAACGGTATGATATCACAATGACAGAGCGGCAGTCTATAACGGTCATTCGAGTCCCTGCGCTTGAGTGATATTTTACGACGGGGTCCGAAAGTGGTGCCTTGGGTGCCTCTTTGGACTGTTCTGGGATCCTTTCTTTGATCCACACCCCGGCATTATACTCGTAGTACACTCGCCCCCCGCTATCCCCCTATAAAATCAACAGAAGAATGTAAATGCAATAATAGACAGGATGCTTTAGTTCAAATCAATCTATGCGATGATTCCCGCCCACTCCAGTTTCTAAAAACACCTCTAATGCCAGACGCCGTCAAAAAAATAGAGGAAACGGAACTCCCTCCGAACTCTTCATTGTTTCTTATCGCCCTGGCCACTGGCAGACAACAGCCTTTCCTGAGCCTCAACGGTCAACTCTAGTCTAAGCCGAGTTATCCCTTGGGTGGTCTGAAACAGTAAAATTCGTAGCCAGGTGGATGAATGACTTCGCCATTGTGGTCAAGTCACTCGGCCACCTGCAGGGTTCTTACTTCTACC